GCCAGCTCACACATTCATGTGACAGTTATGGTAACCTGCCATCCTGTAACAGACATTGTGGTATAGAGGAAAATCAACACAGTTTTTGCAAGTCACTCATTGTAGCACAAAACCATGCTGCAATGGCCTATTTATTATCTGTTATGGTCTAAACAGCAAAGAACATATGAAGTCAGTCAAGAGAACTAGACTTTATAAAGTAACAGGAGATGATGCATCCTACATCTCTACATATTTGAATAATCATGGCTGTAACTGTAAACAAATTTCACAGTGGAATATGCACCATGGTTTTGGGGTCAGGGTCCAATATGTTTTCAGTACAGCTGGGAAAACAAAACAGAGATTTGTCGTACACTAACGCTAAACATTGCCTTGTGGACCATAAATCCTGCAGTCAAAATGTAAAAAATAATGGATGTATTATAAGATCTGCTGAAACTAGGGAACTAAAGGAGTACAGTTGAAGCTGTGTGGTTCAGATGAATAACCCAAAAGACTAGGTGTGAATGCTCCCTTACTAGTAATTTTCTGTGCTTCAAAAATAAGTATTTTTCTTAACTTCATCTAGAAGTTTACTGAGCGTGCATGCTTGATTTCAGCTGTGCCTTATTCATACAACTGCACTTGTTCACACTTGGAAGTGACCAGTTGAAGTACTAATTTGTACCTTTCTCCACAACACAGCTCCTTGGAATTATACAAGAGCTTGTGTTTGAGTGTCACTGACATGAAGTAGAATATTACAGAGTTCATTTTTCTTTTTAGTTTGTTATTCTAAAGAGACATACCTTAAAATCTTCAATTGGTGCTGGTTTACAAACTATTTGGTACAAATACAAATCATTGAAAAATCAGCCTCATATATTTATCCTCTAAATAAGGACAAACTAGAGCATGAATTTTAAAGTCATCTATTCAAGTCCATATGCGGCACCCCATTAAAAAAAAAAAAAAAAAAAAAAAAAAACCTTCCTTCCAATATGAATATGGACAAGGCATTCTTAAATACTATGACTGCATATAATCAGCCTGCATAACTTGCCAACACCACATAAACAATGTCAAAACAATCCTATGTCACCTTGAAATCCAAACTAGTCGGAAAATGTGTGAGATTTCTTCTTTCATTGTCTCCTTTATGATTAAGTACTGTCCAGAACCATTAGAAAGGTGTCCATCTGTACTGATAAGACATCAGTGTGGTGGAAATCTGTCTAGTCTCCATTTACCGGCATCAGCTGCACTTCCTTGCTTGTCTGAAAGTCATTTGAACTGGACCTCTTGTAAGTTATTTGGAAGATAGTGGAAGATATTTAGCAGGCAGTAGACTGTGATGGCTTTAAGTTCACTTAAGCCCTCTGATTGATTGGTGCGTTATCTCCAGGAAGATGTATAGGACCAGCTAATTAGATTTGATCACTTACAATTGCTCCTCAGCCACTAGGTAATCAATGCAGTCTAATTATTGTCTAGTTTCTCCGCCCCCTTTTCCTTACTTCCTTTATCATTCTCTCACTTTGCCACTTTGCTTTCCTTTTTCTGTTTTCATCCTTTTTATTTCCTGCTTTTGCTGCACCCCCTTCAGAAATGTGTTTTCTTTCCTCTAAGCTCAGTTTCTCTCTGTTTTATCCTTTACCCACTCTTCACATTTGGCTATTACTGAGCTACTTTCACCGTTTTCCAAGGGGAATAAAGTAGAGTTCCCTTGCTGTTAACGTCACACACACACACACATGCTCACACACAACAGAGACATAGTTTATCAAATTAAAAACTGCAGTCCAAATCCTTTTGGCTTACTGTCAAGGTTACAGTGGATTTGGAACTGCTCACACCTTCTGACACATTAAGAAAGACATGCACTCACACGCACAGTACTCACACAAAGTACACAGAGACAGTAAAGGACAAATGCATGTATCATACCTAGCAGGGTAGGTAGAGGGAGGAGGTGTACTCTGGTTCCTGTGAATAAAAGAGAGCTGTCCAATGATGTGTGAAAGAGAAGCTGCAGTTTGTCCTCTTTCACCACCCCTACCTAAGATATCGAACACACATGTGTACGCACACACACACACACACACACACACACACACACACACACACACACACACACACACACGTATAAGTATAGCCCCATAGAAATGAACACAGCCCCAAAATGCACCAACAAGGCCTGAGAGTAGAATAGCACTCCAATATGCTCGTCCCATTTGTCTCAATCGTCCTGCTGTCTGCTCGGTCAGTCTTAGGGTCTCAATGGGAATACAGAATAGAGTGCAGCTTTTTACACTTACTCAGCCTCACTGTACTCAGTATCTCTCTGACCTTTGTGGCCTTGCTGCATGGACTAGATACAACACATCATTCAGTACAATTCAGCAACATGCTTTTGCAATTCTCATCCACGCTACCAACAAAACTAACCTCTGCTGATATCTCACACAAAGTGCACTGACCCAGAGTTGCTGGATTCATTGTCTATCGAATAGGTTCATTGCTTCTTTGAACCTTTAAGGTCAAAGACTCATATTTTAGGTCAATAAGCAAGTCAAATTTTGAGACCATTAAGGCTGAATATACAGCTGCCACAGTTTGGGTCAGTTCAATTTACAGTAGGTCAGTTTGGTTCAGCTCAAGTTAGTCAGTTCACTTTAGTTCAATTCAGTTCAACTCATTTCAAGGAGTCCTAAAATGGGAAATTAAAAGGCAAGAAGTGCAGGCAAGCAACATGAAATACTCAATGATACTTGCAATGCTAAATGAATTTATGTGCTGTATAATACAGTGCATAATAATGATAATGAAATGAATGGACATCTAGCCAGTATGTATCATTCCTCCTCAAATTATCCTGTATTCATTGTGGGCTCTGACTGGCTAAGTACAAAGCAGCCCATACTGGCTGTTATCGATCCATTAATTGGAAAGTGGCCCATTGTAGTTAAAGGGCTGGGCAGTATGGACAGACAGGAAGAGATGGAGGCTTAAGATCAGCCTGGACTCTAATTGGCAGCAAAGAGGTTTCTATGAAGTGGTGTAATGTGCTTTTTATTGGCTTGTGGGGGGGAGGGTGGAGGAGGGGTGTAGAGCGCATGCTACTTTAAGTGACAAGAAAGAAACTACAATCATGAATACCATCCCATGACCATGACTGACCATACGAGTCAAAAGTGTATTTCCATTTAATATTTATTTTTTATACTAAAGTACAGTGCACCTAAATAATACTATAAAACCATATTCTGCGTTCAAGGATGTAATTTGTTCTACGTGCGCAGGTGCAGAAAGTCAATGAAACCCTATAACAATCAAGGAAAACCTTTTTCTGTTGATGTCCTTTCATCACAATCAAATTCAATGCCAGCAGAGCTGAGTTGATTGAAAAGTATGTCCAAGGACGGGTCCCTGGTCATAAAAGTACAGAAGGGGCACATCAATATAAAGACTTCCATCTCCCATTTTTTAAAAACTCAGGCTTTTATCATTTCAATGCCAAACTATTTCAAACCTTCATTCTTCTCTTAGTCCGTGGTCAGATTCCAGCCTTTGATATATTCTGTAGGTGTTTTCTTTTAATCTTGGCGAAGGCTGAGATGGAATAGAGTGTTTAGGTAGAGATAAAGGTTTTGGCAAAAGCATGGAAGGTCAAAGTACTGAGGTGGCCTGTCTGACCTTCACACACCCTTTTTTCATACTGAGCCACCGCAGAGCACGGATGACATTGAAATACTCTATCGACTGTGAGTCAAGCTGTGCATGTGAAAAAGCCTGGCACAAGGAGACATTACTCACTAAACATGACATTTCACTGCTATTAATTCAAGACAGAGAGTTGTGGACTACATAGCATTATTATTTGTGTTACTGTGATGAATACCACTACAACAGTATGAAAGCTATATCTCTTGAAGGCATTTGTTTCACCCCTCTTACCTCTTCCCAACAGGGACATTGAGATATTCCTCTAATAATTTTAACAAAATATAAACACATTAGTTTTTGTCTTACTGTGTTCTTCGTGGGTTACAGTGAAGTCTATACATCTGATTGTTTTTACGTTAGTTCTCATTATTATAGGTAACTTATATAAATGGCAGAAATAAACTGGGATCTTTGTGACCTTTTATCTCAATCGATGTGATTAAAAACCCTCATATACCGTACTTTGATATAATTAACAAGAGAAAGCGACAGGCTGGGGCAGAGTACTTTCCACTGCCAATGTGATTGATCCACTCTGTAATGCACTGCTTCATACAGAGCTGAGTGTTTGTGCAGTTTATGCAGTATAGGGTTTGTACCAATATTCCGTTATACAACTGTATTTTGTCATACATGCCATGCTGTTTCTTTGTGTGACTTTATATCTTAGACTTTATTGTGATAGTGTGTCTTGGTGGATACTTTGTGTGCACAAGCGTGTATTTGTGTTTTTTCTATTGATCCACATCGCATGAAGCCCCCTGTGTATGTGATTCAGGTTGCCCCATATCAAATAAACAGATGATGGTTCAACACATACAAGCCCCAGTTCCTCACAAAACATTTATGGAAAGAGAAAAAAAGTGTTGAGGCTCAGAGAGTGAACAGTTTGTTACAGGAAGAAACAGCAAATTTCATTTTAATTTCTGTATGAGTGCTGTAATTTGGTTAGTTGATGTTTAGCTGACACTTCAACACAGTTGCTGCAAAGTTTTCTTTGCTCATCAAGACCATTGTCCTAGCGGTTATTGATTATACTATGCTTGCCCGATTTGATGTTCAGCTCTGCGGTTTACTCTCAAATGGCTAATTAGCCTGCCTTATGTGGTTAATGAAATGCTCCAACCTAAACGATATAGAGCTCACATCTCCAGCATTTTATTTGCCCTATTCCCTCCTCTACCTATTTTTTTTCTGCATAATTAATCATATGTCACTAGGAAATCTTGTTTCACAGCAGGACTTTGTAAAGCCCACTACATACTTTTTTTTTCTCTCTCTCTTCTCCACAGACGGACAATTTTCCCACTGAGCCTAATTATATGGGTAGCAGACAACAGTTTGTTCAAAGGTAAGAGTTGGGATCTATAAGCGTCACTACATCTCAGACCATTGTTTTCTTTTCTCCAATAGTCCCAACACAGTACTTTCTCATCAGTAACTAAACTGACAATAAATTGTACTGAGTCATAGCAGGGAGAGCAAGTGCATGTACATTTAATTAGGTTTAAAAGTAGTCACTAATAGTATTCTCTATAATACATAAAATATGATCACACACAAGAGCCTCTTTTTTATCTCTGGGTTTTTTTTTTTAGAAGGCAGTACTGCTGTGGCCGTATTTTTAGAAACATTTTATTACATCTGAAATCCTATTATTATAATTTTTCTGGTTTTGTTTAATCATTCAGGGATGCTCATCAATGTTTCATTCTGTCTCTACAGTTCCACTGAGGGTAGAAAAAATGAAAAGCCTGACAAATTCCCAGACACTGTGTACTAATGCTCTTTTTGTTTTTGTTTATTTGTCTAGTAGTTCGACATTCAAAGACCCCGAGCGAGCAAGCCTCAGAGACAGTGGTCATGGTGACAGCGACCAGGCTGACAGCGACCAGGACACCAACAAAGGCTCCTGCTGTGATATGTCTGCTAAAGAAGCCCTCAAGTTGAAGGCTACAGGCGTGAAACCACCACCTTTGGAGCAAGGTGAGCCCTCATTGGCAAATTTTACTGCATGAGAAATGAAAGATGCCATGCAAGCCAAACACCAAATGACTATCAATCCATTTTCTGTGCTGCATGCGTTATTTGTATTAACGATTGAGCTCTTGACTTGCCTGAACGCTCCCAATCTGAACTTATACTTGGCTACTTTATTCTTCCCTACTTTGTTCTCAGCACTTTTCTCATTTAACGTATGTGTGGTGTGTGTATGTGTATGTGTGTATTTGAGGGTGTGAGCGAGTGTGCATTCTATACACGTCCTCAGTTTATCAAAGCAGACAAGCCCATTATGTTTTTATAAGCCCAACTACTTCAGCCTCTCCATTTAGTCCCCCTTCCCTGAGCACCCGTCTCTGAAACTTTGATAATGGAACATGGAAAATGACTTAGTGAGCGGCAGGCGATGTAGCTTCGTAGTGTGGTGATTAAATATGAATAATTATTCTAAGCGCTGTGGGTCGGGCAGATTACACATGACATGTGTAGAACAATAACTCCCCAGATATGAGTTGTTTCAGTGCTCCTCACCCCATGCCATCTCACATGATTAGTGCAGGGTCAGGGGAGGCAAGAAAGCCAAGATTATACATAGGTATTGAGAGAAATAATGGGAGAGAAGGTATGGTACATTTCTCACTGCAGCTTGAACCAGTCATGTACTGCGGTGTGGGCCATTACCTGCTTGAAAAAACAGATATTTCCACAGAAATTCACTGAAGTCTTTACACCAACAAGTATGTATCTCACTGACTGGATCCAGACGTACTGTGCTGTATCCTGAACATGGATCCTCTGTAATGGTGCTATTAATCCAGGGAACAGAAGGGCTGTTTTACTCCTCGCGGAAGGACAATGACAATTTTTGTAACACTCTGTGCTGCTATATGCAAGTCTGACTAGATAGCATTTTTTTCCTTTTCATTGGTTTTTTGAATGAAAAAAAGCCACACACGTTGGCAAGAGAAATTGGCCAATTAAAAAGCTCCATATGTTTCTCATTTTTAAAATGTTCCCATTTAATTGTCCGTGAGGGACTGAAAGAATCACATTTATACACACAGAACACATGACAAAGGGAGCTGTGAAGAGTGTGTTGGGCTGTAGTCGAGTAAAAACTGTCCCAATACAACATTGATGGATGTGTGCTGCTACTGCCTGATAGTACCCACCACAGCCTGTCCATCCACCTTTCTGTGTGTTGCCTTCGATCAGTATCCTTTTGACGGTCTTGAGAGATTGTCGCACCCGTACACAAACAGACCCACACACACACAAGCCCGGGTGGTGCTGGAAACTCAGTGAAAGGCTATAACCTGCCTTTGTCTGTTCCTCACTCATCGCTGCCCTCCCATTTACTCTCACCCTCTGCTGTGTTTTCACCCCGCTCCACGACTTTCGTTCCACTTCTCCACCTCTCCTTGTTTGGGGAAATCGATCGATGTGAGATTAGACAGTTAACTGGCTGCAGCTGGCTGTGTTTAGCCAATAACATGTGGGCTTAGCTAAGCTATGGGGGAGGGCAGGGGCAAAAGGCCAAGGTATTGTGCAAGAACAGTGATGATGAGTGAGGGGTGGTGAACATCACTCTGGCATGGTTCCAGTGCATCTGCATTAAGTGCTCAAAAGCATCAAATTATGCCTAACTTTAAGTTAATATTTACATGAGAAAACAATATTATAGTGTGATCTTCTGCCTTTCAAAGTATAATGTTATCTGCTGAGAAACTCTGTTTTTATACTTTTATGTCTCCCGGTGTTTAAGATGAATTGCAAGATGGTCACCTTGTGCCTTGTAAGCTTAGGAGTAGTCCCATATGCTAGTTTGTCTTAAGCCGACCCACTCATGTAATTTATTATAGTAATTTTATGGCTTATTAATGAGGCTTGGTTAAAAGTGAACTTAAACATGCGCTATTAAAGGAAATACAATGTATTGTGCTGCTCTACATTCAGGTATTGAATGTCTTTGAGGTCTGTGGTTAAAATAAAGCTCCTTGCACACACATGCATTGCACACATAGAAGAACACAGGTACGTATGTCTGTTATCAGTTTTTAATAAAGGAAAAGGGAGCTTGTCATTGGTCACTGTCCCTGGGGTCGTTTTCCTGCAGGCTTATTTTCTTTACATCTCAGCACTTAGCATCTACTTCATAGGTCTCTCTCTGCCCCCCCCCCCCCCCCCTTCCCTCCTTCATCTCATCTTAAATCCTCTGTTTCTCTCCAAGCATAGCCCCCCCAATTACTCTCTGTAGCTCTCTCTGCTTGCCTGCCAGGACACTGCGGCCTCATTCACTGGCTCAGTATAAACAGAACTACAAGTGCACAAAGCATGTAGTTCAAGTCCCAATCAATCCCCAACCCGGTTTCAGTTCTTAGCCTTTATAGTCTCTAGGTTGTAGCCTTCAGTTTTTACACAATTGTGTTTCTCTCTCCCTTTTTGTTTCTGATTTTGCCATCCCTTTTGGCCCTTTTTTTTGCTAAATATGCCCTCAATTTCACTATTTATGCTCTCCTCTTGCAACAGGCGCTGGTTGAACAAACATACAACTCCCTATTTCCATGTTTGTAATTCATCTTCTTCTCTGATGTTCAGTGCAGTTTTCTTCCAGACAACATAATCTGGACATCTTCGCACCAGGGACCAGTCTCAAATTGATTAATTAGCCCTGCAAAATTGCTAGCAATGTATTAATTAAGCTTAAGTATATCAAATGCATTTTTTGCCAGTTTTAAACAGCGATTAATTGATGCTCCAACGCGTCTGCAGCAGACGCTGATACAGGCTTGTCTGGCTCTGGCAGAGTGGCTGGCAGCACATCGCTCGCCTCTGTGGAGATGACTGCCATAGTCGCTATCACGAACAGACAGGCAGCAGTGGTGTAGGGAGATGTTACCCACTGATAGGGCTGTCCGAGGAAATGGAGAGAAAGGGATGATGGAAGAGGAGGAGGAAGAAGAGCGTGGAGGGACACTGTTTGACAGGGATACTGTTTGACTGTACCAGCTGACCTATCCTAATTAGCTGCGATTGGAGTGTGATAATCAAGCCGTCTCCTGCCTTGTTTTAAAAGGGAGGCATGAGTGGAACAGAGGAGGGGGAGAAGAGGATGTGATACTACAAGGACAGCGTGAATTCAGTGAGGAGAGACAGCATGAGATGTGTTCATATGACAGCGTAGTAAAAGGCGATGAAATTGACTTTTTCCTGTTATTTGTGGCAAGGTGATAGAAGCCCCCACCCCCATCCCTCAGCATATAAATGGCTTAAATAAGAGAAATGTCACACATTGTCAGTTGCTCTCACACATGCAAACTCTTACACACATACATACACACCCAAATATTAATGTAAATGCACACGCAGACATAAATGTATATACAGTACACAAATAAATAATGATGTTTGAAATCCGATATATTTGACTATTACTCCCTAAACCTTATATTTTTATGATGCATCAAGAAAAACCTAAAGTCTTTGGTTCTATATAAATTGTTCTTATAGCTATTTAAATTAAAATGTATTTTCTATTTAAGTCACTAGTATGCGTTAGGGTTTTGCAACCATGGTAGAGGCCTCAAGTGTTTCTTAGTTAATTCTTGATTGGGCTTTTTTCTGCAGTCTTAGTTGACATTTTAGTTATCTGGTATCTGACAATATTGTCACACAATATGTGTCGTATGAAGTCCTGTCCTGGTGACATAACAATATTACAGGATATCTGAAGTATTATATGTCTCTGGTAACAACAATGAGAGCTAATTTATTCCTGTAGACAGAAGGCCGATGAATTTCACCACTTTAAATTTATCATTGGTATTTTCAATTAAGTACAGTAGCCAAAACAATAAGCACACTATATATTGTTCTAAACAATTTAATTTAATGGGTTTTTGAGTATGTCAAAGTCAAGTTTTCGTGTCATTGTGACTGTGTTCAGACCAAACGAACTAAATATTCAGACTTTAATCCATCTTAAATATTTGCCAATCTTCCCTTGTGGCAGTCTTAATCTTAAGACTCTAGCATAACTGTACTTTTACAAAGTGTTTTAAGTCCCCACAATTTCAATCTTTCCTTTTTTATCTTTTTATTCAGAGCAATTAATTTTGAATCACAAGTGAACCTTTGATAAAAAAAAATGCAATTCCAAGATTAATTGACTGGTCAGAAGTCAGATCAGATGCCCTTTTCACACTTGTAGCCATGGCAACCTCTATCCTTCTCACTCTGGCCTTCAATAAACCTTTATCTGACTGTTGGAAAAGGGCATTCCATTCAACATCATTCATATTTCATGGACAGATAAATGCAGACACGATTTTCATAGGCTGGGTAGATGCGTATTACAGCTGTAATTTGAATGCTTCTGAATTTGTATTCAAAATGCAGCACAATAAGCCCGTTATTATTGAGTTTATTATTGACATGTATGTCATTTTTGTTATAGACAGTGCACTTAGGCCAGTACACTCAATACATATCACAATAATAGTTGCAGTTAATAATGTATGTACATGTAATTTGGAGATATTTATGATTATAATTCCCTTACATGTGTATAAGATATCAAGTGCTTTTATTATGACTAACCAATTGTACCTTTATAGGAAGAAATATGCCCCAATGTGGCCAAAATAATGTTAAAAACCAAAATCAGTGATAGGTTCTGCAATTGAGAACTGTCAATAATGCCTTACCACAGTCTGATGGATGAGTTTATATATTGTTTTACTTTGTAATGTTTATGCAGGTTCCTTTTTCAGGGGTAAATTATTGTTTACAGTGTAAAGTTTCCAGTTGAAGCCGGAGAAATACAGGCACAGACTGAGAGACAGAGTGGGACAAAGACACAGTTCAGACACAGCAAAATTGAATCCGAAAAACAAATGAACAAAGCAACAAAAAATCTGGCTGCTGAAAGACAGGCTGCTTGAAACTTCTGAAACATTTCCAGTGGACATCAGATCCAAAGTGGA